GGGGGGGGGGCACAGCGGCAATTGTAATCCCGAGGTTTTCCAAAATGGATCAAACGCATTAGAGCGCTCACTGGTATTCTTGCCAATCTGATCGATAAAGTTGATGGTAACCTCTGGCACAAGGAGGTTTCAACATCAAAACGGGAAGTTCACACACCAGTTTATGGAGGTGGAGGAGATAATGGCGGAGACCTTGCGGCTTGGATCGAAGATTGAAATCGAATTAAGCGAACCGCGCCTCAATTTAAATTCTAACTTGGGGAAGAATTGTGGATTTTTTTGGATCGGGAAGTTTTTCATTCGAGCGAAAATTTATATGAGATAGCGGATAAGGCATCATATTTACGAGGAGATTATTTATTTTTTTACCCATGAGCACTCTACACTAGAGAAACTGGTGGCTATGAAATTGAGACTTTTGTCCTCTTTTTTAAGACGTTTGTGTTCTCAAATTCAAATTTTTTTTTGTATCACATTTGACATTCTAAATTTCAGTCATGATGAAAGTAGCCGATAAGACACATTGTTGAATCCAATGTCGTAAATTAAGACGTAAATTAAAGTAGAAGTGAAAGTAGAAACCGTCGATACACGGAAAATTTTTTTTAGTGAATTTCAAATCATTGAAAAAATGAATTACCATTGCTATCTTAAAAATCGATCAATGTCTCGCCTATAGTAGATGGCTTCGCAATAATCTACAATTCGTTCTCCAATTCGATGCATTAAAAAAATTAACGAACATTATTTTTTTAAAAATGTAATGTTTTTTGTCAGCAATCTATTCCGCCACGCTTGACATAGAATTATTTCCATCCTAAACTTGAATATCTTATATATAATAAGAAAATATTTTTAAAAATATGTATATATGTATAAATATATATTTTTTTATGTAAAAACAAATGTAGATATGAAAAAATTGCATGAATTTATTTTTAGAAAAAAAATATCTTCATGTTAGTCATCTTCACCTTTGATAACCAATTGACATGGCATTATTTTTTCATTTCCATTCCGTGCAACATCTCTGCGATAGGAGATTTGGGTCAGATTAAGGACATGCCATTCGAGATGACGAGTATTAAATCTGTCATCTTCATACCAGTCGAAAAATTTTTGAATAAGTTTAGAATTGCATTTTCAATGTGGAGAAAATAGTAAGAAAATATGAAAGGACATTATGATTGAATATTAGCCGTCTGTGATGATGGCGCATCTTAACTTGATACCTTTACATTTCACGCGCGCGTAACGCCCTTTCCCTAGTTATCGAAAGTTTAACAAATGGTCGTCGAATAAAACTGAAAAAGCTGTTCTGAATTTTTATTAATCGGTTGTTAAATTTCACCAACTAGTTGTTGCAATTCATCAACTATACTCATTGAAATTCACCACATATTTTTCTCTGTATACCTTGTTCTCCACACTCAATGCAGTTTTCATAACTCAAACCTCTGAAGAATTTTCAAGTATTTATTCTCCCCGATAAAATACACTTCCCCCCTTGCATTATACATCATTGTATCCACCTACAGAGTATACACCCTCGAGTGAGACGAAATAGCGAGAGAGGGGTCGGGCCATTAACAAGAAACGTATCTCACGCAACATCGAGTCTGAATATAATGCCCTCTCGACACGATCGCACGAATGAATCTGGAGGAGTGAGTCGTTCGGATTCATGTCAACAGCCGCACAATCTTTAGACTCACTTCAACCCCCGCGCTCCCAATGAAATTATACTGATGAATTCATGAGAGTGAATTTTGTTAATGAGTCTCGCCCGTGAAAATCGATTCAGGGGGGTAAAATTACTCCGGCATTGCATACAGCCATTCGTAATCAAGCAGATGCACAGGTGGAGACGCTCATTATTCTGCCCAAACAAAGAATCCTCTCACGTTTAATAATACTGAAACCACAATCTTCGTAATTCCGCGAAATTTACCCGAGATTTTGATGAATTTCGAACGAAATCCCCGGGTTTTCTTGAAAACAGGACGTTGAGTGTGACCGAAGTGGCGGACAACTAACGATAGAAGCCAATGATGTCACTCGGGTAAGATAAAGAGACTCCTCGCAAACCAGAGGATAAAATTTATGCAGACATTGCGGGACGTTGGTAAGACAGCTCACTTTATGCTGATCCTCTTATCCCCGCCCTCGGCCCAGAATCTTCAACCCACCCAAGATCATAGACAAGATATCCCCGAACTTCATGAGCACTCAGTTTGTCACAGCACTACATCCTTCAAATACCAAAATTACTGTCTGATTTCGCATGGAGAATGAATGGACTTGTCTTTACGACTTCCTTGATAAAAATCATTCTCCCCTCGGAGATTGAGAGAAGATGACAGTCATAAATGGCTGAGTCGTCTTCCGTGCAAGTAGCGAAGTCAAGAAATGACAGTGAAAAGGAAGCATAAAGAAATTGAAGGAACATTTATCCTAGAAAGGGAAAAGGCATGTGAAATTTATGAACTCGTATACTAAATGGAAATTGTTCTTTTGCATGAAAATCATCAAGGGATATGACTTAGCTGTATTGACTCCAGTTACTAGACAAGGTAGTAAAGATTGTTTACTCCTTTTGCTGATTATTTCTTTCTTATTCCGAAATTTCCGACTAAGCTTGACGATGTAGTGGCATTTCAATTACTTGTCCACGTTAAATTCGACGGAATAAAACAAACTTGGCACCATTTTTCCACATTTTAATGTCGCTCTCCATTGAGAGGAAATGACAGCCGTAAACGGCCGAATCGTCTTTCGTGAAACCAACAAAGCCAAGAAATGAAGAAATAGAAGGGAAGAATGGACGAAGTGAGGAAATCAACCGAACGTCGAAAGGCAGAGGAGGCTGTCGTCCTCGGGTATCAACTGGCCTCAACATTTATCCTGAAAGAGGAATTGGGGGGGAAATGAAATGCCCAATCTAACCTAAAACCAAGACCATGGGGGTAGTCAGATAGAAGTGAGTTTAATGCTGGCTCACTGGGCTCTATTGCCTATTTGTATCCCACCCTTGTGCCCAGTCTAGCGTTTCTGCCCACTCCTGGATATCTTGGTGCACAAGCTAACAGTATTCTCCAAATGCTATTGGCAAGGTGCAACCAACCGCGCAAGCGGTATACCTCTTCTACTCCGTGTAACTCGTGAAGACACTAACCCGGGCAATCGTATATACGTATCGTCTGGAGATACAAGTACCATTTCCGACATTGTCCTATTCAACGGGAATCCCAGGGTTTCTGGTGGGGCTCACAATCTCAAAGGAGAATTAGGATGTCCTTCAGATGAGTTTGGCTAATTGACGAAATGGTTGTTAGGGTGAACTTGTTGAGAGATGTTAGTGCTCTTTGTTAAGTGTCGGGGTAGCTGGTCGTTGGGAAGAATAGAAGAAATGTTCCACCCACCCAAGACCATAGACGAGATACCCTAAGCCCATGAACTTCATGAGCACTCAGCTTGCCGCGGCACTACAATCGTCAAATATCAGAATTACTATCTGATTTCGCATAGAGAACGAATGGACTTGTTTTTACGACTTCCTTGATGAAAATCATTCTGCCCTTGGAGGTTGAGAGAAGATGACAGTTGTAAATGACCAAGTCTTGTGTCGAAGTGCGAAGCCAAGAAATGATAGTGAAAAGGAGGAATAAAGGAATTGACGGAACATTTGTCCTAAAAAGGAAAAGACGTGTGAACTAGTACGCTGAATGGAAATTGCTTCTTTGAGTGAAAATTATCAAGCGATAACAAAGCAATTATTGTTTACTACAGACACCTTTCATCAAAGAGTTTTCGCCGAACTGTTCGAATGTTCGATTATTGTCACCTCTGCCAAAAACCGGAGCGGAAATGCCAAACGATCAACTCTCGTGATAAATTATTAATGGAGATCTCTGTGTGAAACGCAATAAGTCGGATAGACTCAGCAATAAAATGTTGCAATTGGTTTTCTATCACTCTTTTGTAATGTCAAGGCTCATAAATTTTTACTCGTTTGTTCCAGGTATCTTTACAGTAATGTGCTACAACGTTCTTTGCGACAAATACGCAACACGTCAGATGTATGGGTACTGTCCCAGTTGGGCACTCGACTGGGAGTATCGAAAAAAAGGAATACTCGATGAGATACGTCACTATGCCGCTGATATTATCAGCCTGCAGGAAGTTGAAACTGATCAATTCTACAACTTTTTCTTACCTGAACTCAAGCACGATGGTTATGATGGTATCTTTTCACCGAAATCAAGGGCAAAGACCATGGCTGAGAATGATAGAAAGTATGTCGATGGTTGTGCTATCTTCTACAGAACTGCCAAGTGAGTGAATTTTTGATAATTATTGAGGGATGTTTTCGTTGGGAAGTTTTTTTACATCGACGTTTATTTTTATTGTGTCAAAAATACATATTATTAAATGATCATAACTTCGGTGCCACCTGCGCCCTCAAAGTTTACATAACACAGACACAATGCCATTCTAAGCAAATATTAAAGTCACAATTACAGGTTCCGTCAGCCAGTAGATCATTCACCCATTATCCTTACCACGATTTCTGCAACAAAAAACAGGAAATTATATACAATGGCAAAAAGAAAAAATCATGATCAGGCGAATACGTGCGTATTTAGTTCTCGAAAAAACACGCTGTTTGTCCAAATTTTCCAGGCTTACAAATTATTCTTTAAGAAATAATAGTTTTCTCATGGTTATCATGTGCCAAATTATTGAATTCTTCCTTCTTAGTTTTTCATTCATCATGAAATTCCATTAATATAATCGATTTCAATATCTGCTATTTTTCCTTTGTGAATGCCATAAATTTGACTCTCTTTCATTTCTTTACTTCCATATGCGTTTTTAATTCTCGGGTTATCCAATAATTCACGAAAACTTTTTATTCATAACCGTTCCCTTATTTTTCACCAATTCCGAGTATTGATTGAGTCGAAAAGTGAAAGTGAATTTATCGAAGATTCAATATTATTCATTCATTTTTATCATTCGTTTTTCTAATATACTCATGTGTATGAAATGTAATAAAATTTCACTGAAGAAAAGGAAGCTTCACACAAAAAAATGAGGTGAACCATCACCCCGCACGTCCGGCGTATTTCATTATTAATTTCAATCCCATATAAAAAACGAAAGAAAAAACGAAATATCCTTCCTTCCAACAATCGTTGACATCTTTCAAAACTACCCCCTCCCCAAACCCAAGTGACTTCAGTCCGTGAATTCGCAACGGACTGAGGAACAGAATAAAATGAATTGAAACCCAGGAAATTTTAGCATTGAAAAATTTGAAAAGTTTCGGACCCAAAGGGCCAAAACTCTGTTTCACTTTTTCACTGTTTCCTTTGAATCTATACAGAGTTTTTCTCCATCCCCCTTCTCCATTTACCTTCCTCTTTCCCTCTCCCGGCAAGTTTATTGCTCGCAAAAGTGCCCGCCCTGGAGAGGCAGCAAAATGTCCTGATAACGTGAGACCCTCCCCCTCCCCCCTTCACTCACCACTCTAGCATCCTCACAGAGCCTCCAAGGACTTACATTAACCCAGCCATTGTATACTTTATCGCCAAGGGAATATGTGTAACCCTCCCCTCCACCTGAAGTGTTCAACAATATCACTTGTATCGGAATTTCACTATTTACATCGGCGTCTTGCATTTATTTTCAATATCGCGATGCAATTCAACTCCAGTTGGTGATATTTGTTAGTTGTTGGATAGAATGAGACGGGGGACGGAGCGAGAGCGGCATTGCCCGCCGGGTTATCGTGTCCACTGTATAGTTGGAGAGAGTGAGGGCCATTATGGTGATGTATAGCCGAGCATATGCAATCTTGCTCCTACCTTGGTGCTGGTTACTATTTAAGTATTTGCCTCCCTCTTCCCTCACCCGCGCACGCTGCCGGCCTGATGGCTCTCCTCTCTTCGGGGATTTTGCACTGCACGGTAACGGTTCGTTTGTATCTTCAGTTGGGTACCAAACCGCTATTAAATGCTAGAGTACTGAATATATCGACGTAACTATAGTCCCTCTCTCTCTCTCGCACTCTGTGTGTTAACCGTTGAATTATAGCTGAAGTTTCCTATTTCATTTCGCTCGATTTATCGGGAAAAAATGAGTTAATTCCGGGTGGGAAGGGGGGAGGGCTCAATTTATGGGGCAATCTGGGGAGTTTTGCGGAGGTTGAATAGAAAAATTAGAGGTGAACATATTTTTTCGACGTGGGGGGAGGTTAATTTAATTTTGTCAATTGATGGAGGTTTCGGAGATTGTAGGTAATGGTTATTAATTGATGGGGTGCAGGAAATTTTTTAGGTCACGGGATTTCTTTTATTAGGGTTTTATAAGTTGGGGGAAGTCAATCCGTCATTAATTGTTTTGAGAATCATTACACGGCATTTAAATTTTTTTGAAAATTAGGTGAACGTCGTATATCCATTTTCAGCATTGCAATCTGGTATTGCATTCTAGATAAAATTGCAGCATTTCGGAATTTTATTCAAATTTTCATTTAACAGAAAATGAATGGGGAAAAATTTGAAGAAATGAACAACAGGGGATTTGCATAAGAACTTCTCAAAGTTAATTCCGGAAATTGAACTTTGCATTGAATTTAATTTTGAATCAATTGACAATTTACTTCGAGTTTTCCACCGGCATATTAACTTTAAACTAAAATTCTCATTTGATTTCACAGTGATTTCGACGTGTATTGTGCCATCGGTGGAAAATGAATAAAATATTTATTCATAGTTTATTCATAATTAATGAATGAATTCGGTTGAACAAATTATCAGACATAATCTTGTTGTACAGGGCGTCAAGAATACATTACCATAATTTAAATTCCATTTTAATGATTTATTAAGTGTTAAAAAGTACTCATCCGATTGTATTTAGTTCTTTTTTGTTGATTATCATTTATTTATTTTCTCATTCAAATTAATTTTCATCAAAGTTCACAAATTATAAATTTTTTTCGGTAATTAAATATTAAAAAATCGCATGTTAATCAATGGATGCTCAATATCTCGAGGCATTCCCTCACACTCATTAGAAAATATCAATCCACGACATCCAATTGTCTCTTCTGTTAATAGTTAACAATGATCGACTCCCGTCACTGCAGAATCCATACCATTTCCCTCTTATGCATATCATTGCTCTCGAATCTCACGTCTATTTTTCATTGAATTAAATTCACAAGAGTGAAGTTAAATGGTAAGAGGGATAATATCTCCTATACCCCAGAATCAGAGACTGAGAGAGGTACTTTTGGCCTTACGTGAGGCACATGGGTAAACGAGATTGTATTCTACCGCGCTGTACGTGATATGCCTGTGCACTTTTGAGCTCACCCATAGCAAACTACTTGGCGAATACTTTTCGTGAGTACCTGTACATCTCCCCAGGGTTTTCCCAGGTTCAGGATTGAGTCCTTTGAACGTCAGAAAAAATATAAACTCGGGAAAAATTCTGACCTCATTGGGAACGTGACGCGTGGTGCAAATATTATCTAACTTGATTAATCTATACTATTTTATTTTATTTTATTTGCATTTCTGTCTTCACAATTAGATTAATTTAATTTTATCCTTTTCTATTCTTATTATATATATTTTTTCTTAATTCACAAGTAACAAAATTGAATGAAGAGGAATTATGTTAAAGATCAATAAAAAGTGTTTTTTGTGATCAAACCAAATAAACAAAATAATTCATTCGAAATCTCGTTCGGGCAATAGAAAAATCTCTCCATGTATTCTTGAACATATTTAAAATCTATTTTTTCCCTTCATATGGTAAAAGGATATCGTTACTCCTCATTCCTATGGTCGGATTCCAATTATTATAATAAAAAGGAACTGAAAAAAGAATCAGAAAGGGATAATCGGCTATAAAATGGATTTTGTTCTTCTATTATATTGGCGAGAACTTCGAATCACTTCTTTTCTTCAAGTATTAGAGGGATATCAATATTTCAGCGAGAAGAAATTCAAAGAATGCAAGAAAAGTGGCCGGAAAGAAATAAAAAAATTAATTTCTCAATGTCTCCGGAAAGTTTTAAAATTGATATATTTTTTCGAATAATGGAAGAATACCCATAAATTCGATTTTTGTCCTTGGCTTTCGATAGAATAAACCCAATAACTGACAAAAATTGAGAAGTGGAGACTAAAAATTTTATGATTATTATTAGGTAATTTTCCATTTGACTCATTTCCAGATTTACATTGATCAAGGAGCATTTGGTGGAATTCAATCAGCTAGCGATGGCCAATGCCGAGGGCTCCGATCACATGTTAAATCGAGTAATGCCAAAGGATAATATCGGATTAGCAGCACTTTTAAGAACCACTGAGGCTGCATGGGATAATGGTGAGTACTAAAGTTTCTCGAATAAAAGAGGTAATAAAATTTTTCATTGCCCCACCGTGGAATTGTATTTTTGTACTGGAAAGAAAGTAAAAAATACAATTCAAAGAAAAGGGGAAAATCGAATCGTAAATTTATCGCTCTTTAAGCACTCATTAGAGTGTTTTTCCGTCGGTCTTTTCGAGTGCATCGTCTGATGTAGCAGCAACAAAGGAACTTTTTTATTGACACTGAGAGAGACAGAGGAATAATACGGAGAGTGGAGAATGGAGGAAGTTGAATGGGTCTTTTTCTCCCAAGAGAAATAAAGGAGAGGGAAGAAGAAATCCTCTAAATAAACTTGTACGAACGAGGGAGTGAAGTTTAAGGTGTTTACTTAAATTTTTGCAATTCCACTGGGAATACCTGAAGTCATTTTCACTATTAATTCCACATCGATCACAGGAGATACGGGGAAACTTCGTCTCACGGCTGTTGAGGAAGCTCTCTGAGCATTTTAGGGAATTATGAAAGTTGAAAACGAGTTCAAACTGCTCTATAATCGACAATTAATAACTGACAAAGTTATATGTCAGTTTCCAAGGCTTTGATTGAAATTTAATTGCTATTGCAGTTCTGATTTGTATTTGTATATTCTAAGATTGAACATCGCATAGAACGAAATTTCGAAGAAATTACGAATTGAATGTCACAGTCAATTTTCATAATTTTCCGAAATCTTTATAACGCCCCCAGATTAAAATTGAAATTTATATTGAATGTTCTTAAATAAAAATTTACTCCCAAGTAAAAAATTTACAAAATCTTCACACGAATTAATTCTTGTTGAGTACTTCAAGAGATTTCAGTGTAAAATGAATGGAATAAATGAAACATCCCATTCATGTTCAACGAATAAATTCTGTTTTCATTGCTCAAGCCCAAAAAGGGCTCTTTTACCGACGGTAGTTAAGCATGAGAAGTAGGTCTTTTTACCGTTGAGCAGTATAAAAGTGAGAAATGCACTACTTAGGAGTGAAAAAGTGAGAAATGCACTCCTTAGGACTGAAAAACGTGTGGCGCCACCC